TAAATTCTTTCCAGATCAGCCAATGAGATTGTCTGGATTTGTTTTCTCATTTTGTCTCTCATAGTTGAGGTCTCCCTATGATGCCAATTACAGGCCTCTCTCATCTTTGTAAGTGGGAGAACTTGTACCATTGGTGGCTGACTAAATACTTTTTTGCCCCACTGTATGTTAAAATGACTTTTTATATGTTAAAACAAATCTGAAGAATCTACTTAAAAAATATATATTTTTAAAAATCACATGATTTGGGGGGCGGGGACAGTACTTTTGACGATATAGTGTGCATTTCCTTTACGAAAGCTGAAAACATGATAACACATTACTAGCAGAAAGTCCAGCCCTCCGCACCAGAACAGTTCTGAGGTACTTAAAGCGTTCCCAATGGAAGAGTTGTTAAGCAGTTTCTGTTTTTTAGATGCATCTCAACACTGCTACATTCTGTCACGTGATGTCATCACATTCATGCAAGGAAGTTTTTGAGCATTTTAGGGATGGGAAAATGTGTGAAAACTGTTTGATTTGCTCCCCCCCCTTTACAACACAGTGCACACCACCTTATCTTCTGCTACTGAAGAAGCTGGGGATGGAGCTGGGAATCAGAGTGCAGGATCTGGAGGAGGACCAGAGGAGGGCTGGAATCAGCTGCCAGAGTCTGCTGAATGCTGTGACCGGGGGAGGTGGAGACAAGGGGGGGGGTGCCGGATCTGGCAGAGGAGTTCTGTCCTCCTCTCTGCTGCCGACTGCTGAGACAAGGTGGGGGCAGAGAAGAGAGGGGGGTGCCACAGCTGCAGGATAGGTGTGAAGGCCACATGAAATGGGCTGGTGGGCCTGATTCGGCCCATGGGCCTTGTGTTTGACACATGTGCCTTGGATTTTGATTGAAAGTTAAAGCCAATGCACTGCAAAGTGGAAAAGAATTGCCATGCATTGTTGAAAACACTAATCTGGGTGCAAGGGGGGTGAACATAACCAGAAGTAAGACGTCAGAGGAGTTTTTATGACTTTTTTTCCCCAACAATGGTCACAACATCTGTAATTGGTAAAAAAAAAAAAAAAAATTGGGGGGGTTTGCATCCTCGTTTCTTAACTTTTCCAAGCAATCGGTGCCGGGCTCGCTGATTCTCTTCACTCAATAGAGTTTATCTGCCGCCATTTCCATGAATATCAATCAAATATTCAATACCCGCCACAACCTTCCTGGGGTTTAAATACAAGTCAGGTCCAGAGGCGGACTGACCATTTGGAAACTCGGGCACTGCCCGAGGGCCCGGGGTCAGTAGAGGGCCCCATGAGATGCCCCTGGTACCTTTTTCATAGGATTTTTTGAGTTTGGGCAAGGACACAGGGGCCCCATGATCCCCTATTGCCCGGGGGCCCCATGAGTTGTCAGTCCGCCCCTTCAGAATACATCACACATTCCGCAAGACAAAAAACCTTTAATGCGCCAAGTCTACAGAACGCCGGCTGTGCGCCTCCAGCATGGAGCAGACTCCCCTGGGAAGGTAAGGGATACGATGCCAGCCGGCAACCTGGCACTATATACAATGTGTTAGTGATTACCGTCTATGCCGTGCAACCCTGGGCTCCTCAGTTTGAATCCCAACCAGGACACCGTCTGAATGGAGTTTGCATGTTCTCCCCGTGCTTGCTTGGGTTTGCTCCGGGTATTTCCGCACCAGGGGCGGACTGTCCATTCCAGCACTCGGGCACTGCCTGAGGGCCCAGTAGGGGGCCCCATGAAATGCCCCTGGTACCTTTTTATAGGCTTTTTTGGGTGCCCTTTGAGTGTGGGCAAGGACACAAGGGCCCCATGATCCCCTATTGCCCGGGGGGGGCCCCATGAGTTGTCAGTCCGCCCATGTTCTGCACTCTAAAGAACAATGCCTGTTCAAAGACTTATATGCGGTGGGCTTATGAATAGTGATGGGCCAAACACCCCCCCCCCCGTTCAGTTTACGGTCGATTGTTCGAACCTAATGAAAGTTCGACCTTGAACTTTGAACAGAGGGGATGATTCCATAAGCGGTATATAAGATTTATAAGACACTGCACAGCTGCTGACAATTGAATGTCAAAAGAAATGCAACATTGCCCGGAAATTAAAAAAAAAATGCTTGGGGGTCCCCTCCATCCATACCAAGCCCTTCGGGTCCGGTATGGATTTTGAGCAGAACCCCCACGCCAAAATTGTTTTTAAAAATGGCGTGGGGTCCCCCCCAAAATTCATACCAGACCCTAATCTGAGCATGCAGCCCGGCAGGTCAAAGAAGGGGGGGGACCCGTGAATCATACCAGGCCACATGCCCTCAACATGGGGGGGTTCTTTAGGGCAAGGGGGGCTCCCTCCCCAAAGTACCTTGTCCTCATATTGATGGGGACTAGGGCATCTCCCCCACAACCGTGGCCAGAGGTTGTAGGGATCTGCGGGCGGAGGGCTTATTGGAATCTGGAATCCCAGATCCCGCCCCCCCCATGTGAATGAGTATGGGGTACATGGTATTGCTACCCATTCACAAAAAATAAGTGTAGTGTAAAAAAAAAAGACAGGAGACAGTCTTTGCCAAGTCCTTTATTAAAAACAAATTTTTTTAACCACTTCAAGTCCGGACACTTTCACTTTTCACTTTCACCCCCTTCCAGTCCTGACACTTTCACCCCCTTCCAGTCCTGACACTTTCACCCCCTTCCAGTCCTGACACTTTCACCTCCTTCCAGTCCGGACACTTTCACCCCCTTCCTGTCCGGACACTTTCACCCCCTTCCTGTCCAGACACTTTCACCCCCTTCCAGTCCGGACACTTTCACCCCCTTCCTGTCCAGACACTTTCACCCCCTTCCAGTCCGGACACTTTCACCCCCTTCCAGTCCGGACACTTTCACCCCCTTCCTGTCCGGACACTTTCACCCCCTTCCAGTCCGGACACTTCCACCCCCCCTTCCAGTCCGGACACTTTCCCCCCCTTCCAGTCCGGACACTTTCACCCCCTTCCTGTCCAGGCCAATTTTCAGCTTTCAGCGCTATCACACTTTGAATGACAATTGCGCGGTCATGCAACACTGCACGCATATGAATTTTTAGCATTTTTTAGAGACAGATAAAACTTTATTTTGGTGGTATTTATTCACCACTGGGGATTTTTATTTTTTTTTTGCTATGTAAATGAAAAAGTCCAAACATTTTGAAAAAAAAAGTGTTTTTTCTTATAAAATTTTGCAAATAAATAATATTTCATCATAAATCTCGGCCAAAATGTATTCCGTTATCTTTTTTAGTAAAAAAAAAATAACCCAAATCAGTTTATAACCAAAAATTATAATTTTTAAACATTTTTTTTTACATTTTTATTTTATTTTCTTATATTATTATTTGTTTTGGGTTTTTTTTTTTACATACTGTCACCCTAGCAGTGCAGTGTTACCATGGTGACACTGTACTACTTGTGGGGGGTGATGAAGATTTTTTTATTTTTTTTTCACTGACACCCATAAAGTTTGTAAAAGCAATCATTTCTCCTTCTCTCTGGCTGCATTCTTGCAGTCATTGAGAAATACTGTGTGAGCTGTGATTGGTCGCAGCTTGTCACATGGTACAAGGCTGTTGTGAATAGCCCTGTATCATGTGACCTCTGTGATCATTCACAGATTTCACACGTAGTAAGCAATGATGTCAGAAGTGAGATCTTGCTTACTACTCTGCATGTGATCGCTGATTGGCCAATCAGTGATCACATCATTGGTACCTCACACAGAGGTCCCGTATGATGATCGGCGTTTCACTGTGTCTGGAGGACACAGCGGGCACCGGATTGTGGTGCTGCACGCTCCCAGGGAGCACGCACAAGCAGGGTGCAGGGAGGCCGTTTATAAACAGCCACCCGACCCTGCACTGCCACTGTTCGGCCGTTTATATACATGGGTTAAAAATGTCCTCGGAAGTAGATCTAACGTCAATTATGATGCCCGCCGCCACCCTAAAAAAGGGAAAAAAAACAAAAACGCTCTGCTCTCGACACTGGCTCTCGTCGCCTGAAAGCTGGATGACAGTTCTTAAATAGTGTGGTTACATCATCATGCCCCCATGTGACGTCATCATGCGCTGTGAATGGCCAAAGCATTGCACCTGACCTGTGGTCAATCACAATGCACTGTCAGGGCGCGGCGGACGAACAGCCCAGCAAACGCCCTTACCAAACACACGAATGGCTGATGTTTGGGTCAAACGAATGTTCAACTACAGCCCATCCCTACTCATGAAAAGGGGTGTTTGCTAGTTCCAATGATGAGGATTCTGCGTTGTGCCTTGGGAGTCGTCTTGGCCACTTCTAGGAAAAGTAGCCTCGGTACTGAACTGCCTCCATTTATAGACTCTTACTGGTGACTGATGGATGCCTGAACAGTTTGAAATGACTGAGATAACTGGATCCTGTCTAAATTGGACCTAATAGGTACGGTATGTGAGATAAGGACCTAGACTGTAGGTTCCTCAGGGGCAGGGACTGATGTGAATGTAAAGTGGTGCATAAATAGTCTAAACATTATATTTTATACAAAAACATAATCATGATATAATAATAATAATAATAATAATAATAATAATACCAATAATAAAAATGATTGGTGTAAAAGAGATGATCAGACATTACAGACACGATATAAAAGACGGTCAGATATTGTGAACATGACACAAGAGATGGTCAGAGACTGCAGACATGACACAAGAGATGGTCAGAGACTGCAGACATGATACAAGAGATGGTCAGAGACTGCAGACATGATACAAGAGATGGTCAGAGACTGCAGACATGATACAAGAGATGGTCAGAGACTGCAGACATGATACAAGAGATGGTCAGAGACTGCAGACATACTACAGGAGATGGTCAGAGACTGCAGACATGATACAAGAGATGGTCAGAGACTGCAGACATGATACAAGAGATGGTCAGAGACTGCAGACATGATACAAGAGATGGTCAGAGACTGCAGACATGATACAAGAGATGGTCAGAGACTGCAGACATACTACAGGAGATGGTCAGAGACTGCAGACATACTACAGGAGATGGTCAGAGACTGCAGACATGATACAAGAGATGGTCAGAGACTGCAGACATGATACAAGAGATGGTCAGAGACTGCAGACATGATACAAGAGATGGTCAGAGACTGCAGACATACTACAGGAGATGGTCAGAGACTGCAGACATACTACAGGAGATGGTCAGAGACTGCAGACATGATACAAGAGATGGTCAGAGACTGCAGACATGATACAAGAGATGGTCAGAGACTGCAGACATGATACAAGAGATGGTCAGAGACTGCAGACATGATACAAGAGATGGTCAGAGACTGCAGACATGATACAAGAGATCGTCAGACACTGAAGGCATTATACAAGAAATGGTCAGAGACTGCAGACATGATACATGATACAAGAGATGGTCAGAGACTGCAGTCATGTTACATGATACAAGAGATGGTCAGAGACTGCAGTCATGTTACATGATACAAGAGATGGTCAGAGACTGCAGGCATAATACAAGAGATGGTCAGAGACTACAGACATGATACAAGAAATGGTCAGAGACTGCAGACATGATACAAGAGATGGTCAGAGACTGCAGTCATGTTACATGATACAAGAGATGGTCAGAGACTGCATGCATAATACAAGAGATGGTCAGAGACTACAGACATGATACAAGAGATGGTCAGAGACTGTAGACATGATACAAGAGATGGTCAGAGACTACAGACATGATACAAGAGATGGTCAGAGACTACAGACATGATACAAGAGATGGTCAGAGACTGCAGACATGATACAAGAGATGGTCAGAGACTGCAGACATGATACAAGAGATGGTCAGAGACTGTGGACATGATACAAGAGATGGTCATAAACCGCAGACATGATACAAAAGATGGTCAGAGACTGGACATGCTGCAGGTGACTGTCAGAGACTGCAGACATGATACAAGAGATGACCAGAAACTACAGATATGGGTGTTGAAGATGGTAAGAGACTGCCAACATGGTGTGAGAGATGGTCAAAGACTGCAGACATATTACACAAAACACAGATTGGTGCCTGCAAGGACCCTGAGGGCCACACAAAAAACACCAAAGGACTGCATGTGACGCTAGGACAGCAGGTCGGGCATAAGGGCTCTCCTATTGTTTTCTTTTCTCTTTCAGTACCCCTCCCCCTAGTTGCTCCATGGGTCGTTAGACAACTTTTTGTGGCCGATCTCCTCAGTCTCCCATGGATCATCGCATCCTAAACCTCAATCCATTCAGAGTGTGCCCCTGATGGACAGTGAACCCAGCACCCCAGTGCTGCAAGAACCTAACACTGACCATCGTGCTGACCACAAATGATTGGGAAGTAAAGGAAGACGTACGTCCACGAACGGTAAGACCGGGGTTACATGGAACAAACGGTACTAACCACCGAGCCGCCGCCGGGAGGTCGCCGACGTCTCTTTTAAAGACGCGGAACTTATCAGAGCAAACAGATCACGGCGCATGTAACGCAGCCTATGAAACAGATGGCACATTCCGGCTTTCACAGTGTAATTATCTACAAAGCTGAGCGGAGTTTGAAGATATCATAGACTTGGGGCCTCGTAAAACCTTGTAGAGCAAATAAATGATTTCCATTTTTTCTTTTTTTTTTTTTTTAATAAATGCCCTTGTCCGTATTACGCCGTCGTATATGAAAAGGGGCTCCGGCTAATGAATATACAATGATCGTTCCGGCTAAGAAGTGCCTCACCGAGCTGCTTTTTATAGGCTGCGGAATTAATTGAAAACATAGAAAGAAATTAGATTTATCTTATTGGTAGTTTCATTCTAGGCGGCGGGGAGAAGGCGGCAATTAATGAGCGCCAGGTAGATGATGAACGTCCGGATGAAGGACGTTTCACAAGATTGGCCTAAAATAAATCTTTTTTTAATCCCGGGAGTGCATCTTAGTGAAGATTAAAACCCAATTTGGGTATCCGCGTAGACGTGGACGTTGCGTGAGGTTTCTATGGAGGGATTCTACGGAGATGACCGAAGAGAATGTTAGTCTGGCTGAAAAAAGACAAAAGTCCAACCATAAAAAAAAAAAAGTTATAATCCTACACTCACAGTTGATCCAGAGGAAGGCAACAAAACCCAGCAAAGCACGATCCAATTTGCTCCTGCAGGAGAATAAAATTCCTTCCTGATCCCCCGAAAGGCAATCGGATATTCCCTGGATCAACTTTCCCTATAAATGTTATATCCAGTTATATTCTGTGTATCCAAGAAAGAATCCAGGACTTTCCTACAGCAATCCACTGAGCTGGCCACAACCAACTCTGGAGGGAGTCTATTCCACATTCTCACAGCTCTCACTGTGAAGAAACCTTTCCATGTTTGGAGATTACATTTCTTTTCCTCCAGACGTAAAGAGCGCCCCCTTGTCCTCTGTGATGACCTCAGGGGGAATAACTACACCGAGTTCACTATATGAACCACTGATGTATTTATACATGGAGATCATATCCCCCCTTATGTATTATACATGGAGATCATATCCCCCCCTTATGTATAATACATGGAGATCATATCCCCCCTTATGTATTATACATGGAGATCATATCACCCCTTATGTATTATACATGGAGATCATATCACCCCCCCCCTTATGTATTATACATGGAGATCATATCCCCCCCTTATGTATTATACATGGAGATCATATCCCCCTTATGTATTATACATGGAGATCATATCCCCCCTTATGTATTATACATGGAGATCATATCCCCCCTTATGTATTATACATGGAGATCATATCCCCCCTTATGTATTATACATGGAGATCATATCCCCCCTTATGTATTATACATGGTGATCATATCCCCCTTATGTATTATACATGGAATCATATCCCCCCTTATGTATTATACATGGAGATCATATCCCCCCTTATGTATTATACATGGAGATCATATCCCCCCCCTTATGTATTATACATGGAGATCATATCCCCCTTATGTATTATACATGGAGATCATATCCCCCCTTATGTATTATACATGGAGATCATATCCCCCCTTATGTATTATACATGGAGATCATATCCCCCTTGTATTATACATGGAGATCATATCCCCCCCTTGTGTATTATACATGGAGATCATATCCCCCCTTATGTATTATACATGGAGATCATATCCCCCCCTTATGTATTATACATGGAGATCATATCCCCCCTTATGTATTATACATGGAGATCATATCCCCCTTATGTATTATACATGGAGATCATATCCCCCCTTATGTATTATACATGGTGATCATATCCCCCTTATGTATTATACATGGGAGATCATATCCCCCCCTTATGTATTATACATTGTGATCATATCCCCCCCTAATGTATTATACATGGAGATCATATCCCCCTTATGTATTATACATGGAGATCATATCCCCCCCTTATGTATTATACATGGAGATCATATCCCCCCTTATGTATTATACATTGTGATCATATCCCCCCCCTTATGTATTATACATGGGAGATCATATCCCCCTTATGTATTATAACATGGAGATCATATCCCCCCCTTATGTATTATACATGGAGATCATATCCCCCTTATGTATTATACATGGAGATCATATCCCCCCTTATGTAATTATACATGGAGATCATATCCCCCCTTATGTATTATACATTGTGATCATATCCCCCCTTATGTATTATACATGGAGATCATATCCCCCTTATGTATTATACATGGCGATCATATCCCCCCTTATGTATTATACATTGTGATCATATCCCCCTTATGTATTATACATGGAGATCATATCCCCCCTATGTATTATACATGGTGATCATATCCCCCTTATGTATTATACATGGAGATCATATGCCCTCTTATGTATTATACATGGAGATCATATCCCCCCTTATGTATTATACATGGAGATCATATCCCCCTTATGTATTATACATGGAGATCATATCCCCCTTATGTATTATACATGGAGATCATATCCCCCCTTATGTATTATACATGGAGATCATATCCCCCTTATGTATTATACATGGAGATCATAATCCCCCCTTATGTATTATACATGGAGATCATATCCCCCTTATGTATTATACATGGAGATCATACCCCCCTTATGTATTATACATGGAGATCATATCCCCCCTTATGTATTATACATGGAGATCATATCCCCCCTTATGTATTATACATGGAGATCATATATCCCCCCTTATGTATTATACATGGAGATCATATCCCCTCTTATGTATTATACATGGAGATCATATCCCCCCCTTATGTATTATACATGGAGATCATATCCCCCCTTATGTATTATACAGTGAAGGAAATAAATATTTGATCCCCTGCTGATTAGAACGTGACGGTGCGGTGGACCAGAAGTGAAGCAGATCCGTATCCGGATGTGCCGTGCCGGTGTTCTGTCCGGTAGTCCGGAGGTGGGGAGAGCACCGTGCAGTATCTCTCTCACTGAATGATATGTTTTAAAAGGCTTTATAAGTTTTTAATTGCTGTAAGTGCAATATTTGGCTTATTAGAGTTGTTTACCTCGGGTAACACACGACTGAAGCGGAATTTTTTTTCTCTTTCTATGTAACAATGGAAAGGAGTATTTACTATGATCCTGGCAACCATTCATGATAAGGGTGGTTCTTGGAGGAGCCTCTAGAGCCCAACAATGGGACACCTTTATGATCAGGCTAAAGCAGGGGGTGTGGGCAAACTTTTTGACTTGAGGGCCGCAATGGGTTCATATATTGGACCCGGGGGCCGGACCAAGAGTAGATGAATGATGTGTATGTGTCATCCATAGTAAGTATAGTAATATTCCCCATAGTAATATCCCCCATTCATCCCCCATATAGTAATTAATCCCCCATATAGTAATTCATCCCCCATATAGTAATTAATCCCCCATATAGTAATTCATCCCCCATATAGTAATTCATCCCCCTATAGTAATTCATCCCCCCATTCCCCCCATAGTAATTCATCCCCCATAGTAATTCATCCCCCATATAGTAATTCATCCCCCATATAGTAATTCATCCCCCATATAGTAATACATCCCCCATAGTAATTCATCCCCCATAGTAATACATATAGTAATTCATCCCCCATATAGTAATTCATCCCCCATATAGTAATTCATCCCCCCATATAGTAAATCATTCCCCATAGTAATTCATCCCCCATATAGTAATTCATCCCCCCATATAGTAATTCATTCCCCATATAGTAATTCATCCCCCATATAGTAATTCCCCCCATATAGTAATTCATCCCCCCTATAGTAAATCATTCCCCATATTAAGTCCCCAAGTCCCCCCTGTGTCAATTCACTTACCTTTGCTCCGCGCGTTCCTCTCGCCGTGTTCCCGCGCCGTTCTGGTGTAGCATGAAAATCTGTCTCCTATGAGGATCTGTCCCCCTCGACGTATCTGCGCATGTGCCAGTTTCAGGCATTAGCAGCCGATCGGCGATCTCCGGCACACGCGCAGATACGTCGAGGGGGACAGATCCTCATATGAGACAGATTTTTATGCTACACGGCGGACTGTGAGAGGAGCCTAGCGGGAGCCTAGCTCCGCGGGCCAGATTAAAAGGTCCGCCGGGCCGTAGTTTGCCCATTGCTGGGCTAAAGGCTATGTTCTGGTGAGTGCGCACCTGACAGGGGGTGCATGACCGGCGCAGCTCGTGGTTTCAACGTATTGATATAGTTTCACTGCAAATTATTTTTTAAAGTGGACTCACATTGTGGAAATTATATTGGACTTTTAATTTTTTTTTCATCACGGGACTTATTATTTATAATATATATATAATTTTTTTGGGAACATCACTGTTTATGTTTTTTAGTCACATAAATGTTTTTTTTTAATTTTGCGCACATTACAGGAATGTTAATGTTAAGAAAATGACACACATGAATGCTAATTAGAGTTTAATGTGTCGCATATATCATGCGCCGTCAGGGGCGGACTGACAACTCATGGGGCCCCTGGGCAATAAGGGATCATGGGGCCCCTGTGTCCCTGCCCAAACTCAAAAAAGCCTATGAAAAAGGTACCAGGGGCATCTCATGGGGCCCCCTACTGACCCCGGGCC